CTGTATAAAAGGGGGGCTGTGATTGGCTGTTACTTACGCGAGATTTGAACGGGACTTACATAGGCGTCGGATCAGATGTAGGTAGGGCGGAATTAAAAAAAAATCAAAATCAAAGTAAAATAATAAAATAAAAGGGCATTAATAACAAAAGTAATAAAAAATAAAATTAAAATAAGTTTATAGCTAAAATAATTAAAGCCCGTACACTACATCAGATTTTAATCAGATTGCTTCTTCTTCTTCAAATTTCGCCAAAGCCTTACCTACATTTTACTGATATCTGCAGAATAAATCAAGAAAACTACACAAATTTACTCCATTTGGGAATTCCTAACGGTTTGCCCGAACGCACGGCACAGTGGGAGGCGTGGCCTGTTCAGCATTTGTCAACAACCAATCACAAGACTGGTTACGAACCACATCGAGGTCACGATTTTAGATTTTAGCTGTGATTTTCGAAGTTATGTCTCTGGTGGCGACATTTATTTTTCAACAATAGGGTTTTGAAATGAGCGGCGAAAAATCCTATTTTCATTTTGGGATGTCTCATTTCATTGGCGCGCTAGGGATCCTGATCAAAGACAAGCGCAAATGACAATTTTACCAGTCAATGCTTCTGTGCGGCCGTGGAAACAAAAAAATAAACACCAACGGTCACTTTCAGCACAAACACATAATCTAAAACGAGAATACGGATGGACAGCGCACTTTTAAATACTAAAATAGCGATTTTGAAAGAGGGTAACACCTTTGAATTATAACGACAGGGTACTAAGTTTCAACAACTGGTTAGACTGGAATATAGCCACGGTTGACCGGTTACATTTTTTGCATTCGTTACTTTTGATGTCTACTTATGTACAAAATCACCACACGATGCCTCACAATATAAAACGTATCAGAAAATACCTTTATTCTGACTCGTATTTTCTAGATAGATAATGAAAAATTTCAATCTTTGGAACAGCATAAACTAACACGTAATAACGATAATAAAAGTAATTTCCCGCGTAATTTCAGGTTTCAACTAGCTTGAAATAGAACGTCCTTAAACGCAATAAAATCACGCGTAGAACGCCTTCCGAACCAGAAACTAGCAGTTTGGGGGCCAGTATATTTCTACAATATTTATAAGTTTCATATTTCATTATTATTATTTATTTTATTTCAAACAGAGTCCATATAAAATAACTTACAAACAATAAGAGAAACAGAAATAGAGTTATAATAAATTAAAGTCATTATTAAAGTGTTTTGCTACAAAATAATAAAAAAAAGTTATTCCAGTACTGCACTAACTGTGGCTTCCAACGTATGTCATTATTATATATTACAGAGATAATGTCATTAGTAGAGATATAAACTCGTTGAGTAAATACCGATACTAGCTTTCTATTGAGACAAGGAAATGTGTGTATTCGATTAACAACGCACACTGTACCATAGACCTTAGAAAGAGACTGTACTAACACAAGTACTGCAATCATATGGGTATCCAAACAATACCTAAAAGCATTGTTACATGAAACCCTCATTGCAGTAAGTGTAACCTTTCGAAACGAACACCATAACTGACAGCAATAACAACTTGAACAATAAGTTTTAAATAACAATTGCTTAACTTCAGTGCTACAGTTCACAAATTTTCACAGCAACAGATTGGCACGAACGCAAAACAAACGTCTCTGGTGATCAATGTCAATGTCGTCTTTAAAATCAAGAGTAATTTTGTGACCCAAATAATTAAGTAACTCAACAAATTCTAATTCTTGAGTACATAAATAAACTGGTGGTATATTACTCAGTTTATGACGGCTAGGAAAATACATACATTTTGTTTCCTTCGTGTTATAAATAATATCGTGACCGTTAGCATATAGCTCACATGTACTTAAAAGTTTGCGTAGATCTTTGATAGAGGGGGCAATGTCACGCGAGAATCCGTCTTGAAATTAGATTGGTATACAGGTGCATGTTGTGAATGCAGAAACAGGTGTATGTTATATTTAATTTATTCAAAATTCCTTTGTTGTGTTTGCGTGGTG